GAGTAAGTGCATGTGGATTCATGCTTTTCATTGATTGAGAACTGGTTAAAAGACAGGGAACAAATGGTAGGAATTAATGGTAAATTCTCAGAATGGAGAGGGGTAACTAGTGGTGTTCCCCAAGGGTCAGTCCCCAGACCAATCCTATTCAATTTATTCATAAATGATCTGGAGAAAGGGGTAAACAGTGAGGTGGGAAAGTTTGCAGATGATACTAAACTGCTCAAGATAGTTAAGACCAAAGCAGACTAAAGAACTTCAAAAAGTCCTCACAAAACTAAGTGATTGGACAACAAAATGGCAAATGAAATTTAATGTGGATAAATGTAAAGTAATGCACATTGGAAAAAATAATCCCAACTATACATACAATATGATGGGGGCTAATTTAGCTACAACAAGTTAGGAAAAAGATCTTGGAGTCATCGTGGATAGTTCTCTGAAGATGTCCACGCAGTGTGCAGAGGCGGTCAAAAAAGCAAACAAGATGTTAGGAATCATTAAAAAGGGGATACAGAATAAGACTGAGAATATATTATTGCCCTTATATAAATCGATGGTATGCCCACATCTTGAATACTGCGTACAGATGTGGTCTCCTCATCTCAAAAAAGATATACTGGCACTAGAAAAGGTTCAGAAAAGGGCAACTAAAATGATTAGGGGTTTGAAACGGGTCCCATATGAGGAGAGATTAAAGAGGCTAGGACTCTTTAGCTTGGAAAAGAGGAGACTAAGGGGGGATATGATAGAGGTATATAAAATCATGAGTGATGTGGAGAAAGTGGATAAGGAAAAGTTATTTACTTATTCCCATAATACAAGAACTAGGGGTTACAAAATGAAATTAACAGGCAGCAGATTTAAAACAAATACAAGGAAGTTCTTCTTCACGCAGCGCACAGTCAACTTGTGGAACTCCTTACCTGAGGAAGTTGTGAAGGCTAGGACTATAACAGCGTTTAAACAGAACTGGATGAATTAAGTCCATTAATGGCTATTAGCCACGATGGGTAAGGAATGGTGTCCCTAGACTCTGTTTGTCAGAGGATGGAGATGGATGGCAGGAGAGAGATCACTTGATCATTGCCTGTTAGGTCCACTCCCTCTGGGGCACCTGGCATTGGCCACTGTCGGTAGAGAGGATACTGGGCTAGATGGACCTTTGGTCTGACCCGGTACGGCCGTTCTTATGTTCTTAAGGCTGTTTATTATTTGTTTTTCACAATTTGGGGGTCACAGTAAATCTTTATCTACTCTCAAATTCCCCACCAAAGACTAATTCCTTCCTTCATTTCCCCTATCTACACTAGGCAGGAAAGGTGTGATCTTTTGTTTTATTTTTGGCATGCATAAGAAAACTCCTCAGCAAGATTAATTTTTAAAATATGCAAATCTGTAGGGAGCCCATGATATCAGCTGATAATTTCTGTAAATGTTTACAAAGCAAATGGACACCCACCTCAAGTTTAATGTAATAAACTATGAACAAGTTCCTCTGATCCTTCTGAACTTTGGGATGCAGGGCCTCAAAAATCTGTAAGCAGTTTCTTTGGACTACTCTCTTTACTCTGGTCTTATGCCTGCAAACGGTCTCAGAGTGCAGCAATTTAACCCTCAATCCTTCATTCTTGGCCCATCTGGCACCTTCTATAAAGGACCAGACTTTTAGGGGGAGAGCAGGAAGCACAATGTTTTCCTTTTATAAGATCTTTATGTTAATTAAGATATTTTTAGTTCTTCAGTGTTTTCCTGTTCTTCTACAGGTAAACCCTGATTCTCCAGATCTTGAATTTATCCAAATTTGAACTAAAATCAAAAACTATATTTTACACTTGTTGCAAGTGTCTGCTGAGACCTTTGTAATATTGATGTTTATTTTTTACTTAAAACCCAAGAAAAAGACACCTATGCAACAAGAGGTTATTTACCAAATAAAAACACACAGATGCTTCTTATCAAGTGTATTGCTATTAGACACCTCAACATCACCTTCCACCTTCTGATTCTTTTCCTACCATCTTAAATCACACTTTATTCTTTAGACCACATGCATGTGTAATACAGCAGACTAGCAGACATGAAATTACTTAGAGACTAACAAATTTATTAGAGCATAAGCTTTCGTGGACTACAGCCCACTTCTTCGGATGCATATAGAATGGAACATATATTGAGGAGATATATATACACACATACAGAGAGCATAAACAGGTGGGAGTTGTCTAGCCAACTCTGAGAAGCCAATTAAGTAAGAGAAAAAACCCTTTTGAAGTGATAATCAAGCTAGCCCAGCACAGACAGACAGTTTCGAAAGACACCCATCTTAACAGATTATTACTCTTGGAATCTAAAATCTCCAG